TGCATCGCAGCCGACGGGGACTACTTTGAAGGGGACAACTTGAATTTTGAAGAATAAACATGTACTTTTCTTTTTATGAGTAAATTCCGGTTATTTTTTGATCATGGTAGTATATTCATTAAGTGGGTTGGGTGCCGTGCTTTAAGGGCCGCGAATGGCAAAAATATCTCAGAAGCCTTAGAAGACCTTATTATTTCTCGCTGGGGAACTCCGCAACTTTTATTGACGGACAATGGTAGAGTTTGTAAATCGAACCCTAATAGAATTTGCCAAATCGCACGATATCAAGCACACCACGTGCCGCCTTATCATCCACAGGCAAACCCCGTGGAACGGATAAATCAATTTCTTATAATAATCGCTTTCCTCGATAAGGATCATCGCGAGTGGGATCTCCACCTGCGAGATTTCTGTTTTGCCTATAATACGGCACATCATTCGTCCATTGGTGCGTCATCAACTTTCTTGAATTTAGGTCAAGAATTGTTGCCGTTACGTTTATTAAGAAATCGCTTAACACAGGTGAATGAAATTGCCGAACAACCTCCGGCGAATTGGCGGGAACGTATGGTTAAACTGTCAGCTTTGCACGAGTGAGTAACGGAAAATCTTTAAAAAGCATATCAAAAACAATCGGAAGCATATAATTTGCGTCATCGAGATGTATCGTATAAGATTGGAGATCTAGTTTGGAAACAAAATCGCATTCTGTCGTCCGTCACACAGAATATTGCCGCGAAATTAACATCAAAATATCAAGGGCCACATCGAGTTAGTAAAAAAGTGTCATCAGTAGTCTATAAATTAGTTAGTCTAGACAACCTACTGTTAGACAACCTACTGGTCGAGTACGCGTAAAAGACCTTAAACCTTACTGCAAACCTTCTGACGATCCCCGCAAGTAATAGTACCTATTATTATTATTATTTTTTGTTTGGTGTTGTTTTGTTTGGTATTGTAGTATGTGGTGGTGGGTACACCGTGCATTATGTTTCCTTAGGCCCTTAGAAAAACAGTGTGGAAGAGGGGGGTAGAGAAATGGAAAAGCAGAACGAGAAAACAAAGCCGTTGACTCTGGAGCAGATCCTCCGCCGGAAGTGATGGTCGGAGATGAGAAAGGAAAGTAAAAAAAAAGATGCCGAAAAAGAGAGGACGGAAAGAAAAGAACGAGATCAGAGGGAAGCTGAGAGAAAGGAAAGAGAAGCCAAGAAAATACAGGAGAGAGAGCAAAAAGAAAGGAAAGAAAGAAAGCAAAGAGAAACCGAGAGAAGAGAAAAGGAGAGAAGAGAGAAAGAAGAGCAGGAACGCCAAAACAGGGTACGCCTGGAAAAGGAAAAGAAGGAAAGAACCGAAGCAAAGAGAAAGTGATTGGAAGAGAGGGCATGAATTGAAAGAGAGCGGCACGGTGATGCTGTATGGGTCCTGAGCCAGAAGATGAAAGATGCCGAGGAACAACACCGGTACGAGAAC